TCTGTATATCACTGTGTATCATTTCTGTGGCTTGAAATTCCCATGACTTTAGGGGACTGGGGAGATGGCTCAGTGGAATAAGAGCTTCCCTGGCAAACACAAGGGGCTGAGTTCAATCCCTGTTCCCACAAAAAAAAAAAAGAAAGAAAAAGAAAGAAAGAAAGAAAGAAAGAAAGAAAGAAAGAAAGAAAGAAAGAAATTCACATGGTTTAAGATATGAAACTAAAGATAGTGTAACAAAGCTTTCAAAGTACTATTACATTATTTGTGATCCCCTTGAGGAGTAAAAGTGTAATGGAAAGAGGAAAACTCTTTCAACATGTTTTTTTTTTCGTGAAAGTATTGCCTGAAATCATTGCCTCATTTGACAAAGAGCAAAATAAAAAATAGTAAGTTGAGATACAGATCCCTTGCAAATGAGAAGGACACAAAAAGGTGGAGAGAGTTGGGGGAAGGAAGAGAAAAAAATGAAAGAGAACAAATCAGGTTATGTACACATACCAACTCTCCAAGAAGAATGTGATCATTATGATGCAAATGTACCAATAAAGTAAAAAAATAAAGAAAGGATAAATGATACAAATGTGTCTGAGTTCAGAGAAAATGAGATGATAGAATAAGTATAACATTTTTCTGCAATATTACTTCCTGAAAATTTAAGAATCAGATGAAGATTAGAGAAGTAGATGAACATATATTAATGTTCCAAATTGGATTTTAAATATTTGCTTGATTTTCATTTGGAGGGCCAGCCAAATAGCTCAGGAGATTAAAGCACCTGCTTAGGCAGATGCAGTGGCTAGGGTTTGATCCCCGGTTTGCCTTGCTGGCCATGCCCCTAGGGTGCGCTGAAATTGAGACTGGGCATGGTGTTGCAGTACCTGTAATCCCAGCTCTTGGGAGGCTGAACAAAGGCAGATCACCTTGAGTCTGATCTACATAGTAAGACCCTGTAGACCCTGTCCTAAAATACAAATAAATTAATTTAATTTAAAAAAATATTTGCATGCATTTGTTATATTTCATACAGGAATTTTAAAGTTAATTCAATTCTTGTGTAAATCAAAATTCCTATCAGAAGAGATGGCTTATCTGGATCAAAACTTAAACATTAATTTCCAAATGGTAAAGTTTCTATTTTTAATACAAATCTACTTACACCACACAACTATATATCTTCATCCATAGGAGTAGTTAACATAGATTTATTTCCAAAAGGAAATACATACATGAATTTCTATTCTTTAATTAATTTTATTGAAAGACAAATACCAATGAGACAGTTTCAAAACCCGTTAGTGGGACAGGTTCAATAATTAATACATTGCATAGTGTTGTCTTCGTAGTGGTTATTCATAGTACAAGATGCAGGCATGATATCCTGTCTCAAACACTAATAGCACAAATCTTTCTTCTCATTGAATTAAGAGAAAGTAGCTGTATATCTATCCTAACTATTTTGTATACACAGATACAAAATGTTTCTTTATTTTTATCCCCCTTTTTTTAGTTTTGTCAGAGATGGGTATTCCATTGCGATTTAAATATTGTTGGTACGTGACTTCAGCAAAATAATGCAATATAGTCCATAATAGTAGTGGGTTATCCGTGGGTCTGTCAATGTCAGAAGTTGTTGACTTGAGCCCTTTACAGCTCAGCATATTAATATGGCTTTACACTTTATACCTCATTTTTATACTTTTCTGCTGGATGATTAAGACCAAAGTAAGGCAAATGTAACTTCTGTATCTGACAAGGTCAGTCAAATCCCCTCAGGATTTACCCTGAAACCCTGTACCTCAGTTTGTAGATCCTTTGTCAATGTCAGCCATGTGAATGAGTCACGGCATTGCTTGAACAATTTGCTCTCTGTGAAAGCCTGAGAGAATGTTTTTGCTCTATGTGACTCTCCTTCGGCACACTCTACATCATCGATCACTTTCCTTTGTGGCCCCATAATCTCCTTGATCAGAAAGTTTGGGACATCACTGACTTACAGGATGTTATAGTACAGGTTCTCATATGTCTTGACTCACTAAATTTGAAAGGCTAGGAACAAAATGTTGGTTGTCCTAGACTTCTTTTTTCTAATTTTCAGTCTGCAAACTTAAGTTGTTAACCCTCCAGAAGAGAAGCTTAATGATATTATTATTCCATAACAGGCAGTTGAGCTTAACCTCACTATTTGTCTGAATATCAAACATCTTAGCCATAACATGGAACAGGTATTTTCCATCAAGTATTGATATGTTAAACTTTAAATACCTACAGAATCTGAAGAAAAAAAAAGAAAAAGAAATAAATATTTTTTAAAAAATAGGAATAAACAATTACATAGTTGTACATAAAAATTTAGAAATCTAACCATATACAGCATTAGAGCAGGACAGTCCTATGACATTTTTTTTCTTGTCTCTTGTTTTCACTTATTACCCTTTTTTAAACCAACATTTACTTGAGAGACAGTATAGTAGTAATTGATATGACATGAACCATTAGACAAGAGAGAAAAATAAAAGGAATAAGAATAGGTAAAGAGGAAGTTAAGCTATCATTATTTGCTGATGACATGATACTTTACTTGGAAGATTCAAAAAAGTCCACCAAGAAGCTACTAGAATTGATACACAAATTCAGTAGCATGGCAGGATGCAAAGTCAGTACCCAAAAGTCAATAGCATTCCTGTACACAGATGACAAACACACTGAGAGGGAAATTAGAAAAATAGTACATTTTACAATAGCACCACAGAAAATGAAATACCTAGGAATTAATCTAACTAAAGAAGTCAAAGATCTATTCAATGAAAATTACAGTAGTCTAAAAAAAGAGATCATAGAGAATTTCAGAAAATGGAAAGATATTCCCATTTTTGCTCCTGGATAGGAAGAACCAACATCGTGAAGATGGCCATACTCCCAAAATTGTTGTACAGATTTAATGAACTTCTAGTAGTGGTTGAAAACAAAACTCTTGACAAGTGAGAGCTGGGTGTAGTTTCATATGCCTGTAATCTCAGCACTCTGAGAGACTGAGGAGGAAGAATAATAAGTTTGGCTGTATGCAACTTACTGTTTTAGAAAGTCCTTATTTGAAAATTTTAAAAATAAATGCATAAAAAGGGCTTGAGCTATAGCTTGATGAAAAGGTCTTAGGTTCAATCTCCATTATCACAAACAAAACAAAAATTTTAGAAGGGTGAATTGGATTTTAAAAAGAAGATATTTCAAGGCCGGGGAAATGGCTCAGAGGAATAAGTGCTTCCCTGGCGAGTGCAAGGGCCTGAGTTCAATCCCTGGTTCTGCCAAAAAAATAAATAAAAATAAATAAAATGAACCAAAAAGAAGATATTTCATAAAAAGCAACTAAACGGAGTTGTGGCAATTCTTATAAATTTACAGATGAAGAAAATAAGAACCAGAGATTAAGAACATTTAAAAGGACCGGCCAAATACCTCAGCAGATTAAAGTGCCTGCTTAGGCAAATGCAGGGGCCTGGGGTTTGATCCCTCCTTTGCTGTGCAGGCCCTGCCCTGGGCTTGCTGAGACAACAATGGAGACTGGGCATAGTGGTGTGTGTCTGTAATCCCAGCACTTGCGAGGCTCTAAACAGGAGAATTACTATGAGTCTCACCTATGTAGTGAGACCCGGAGCACCCTATAGACCTTTCCCTAAATACAGGGGGGGGGGAAGAACATGTAGGAAAATTTCATTTAGGATGAGCAAAGAAAGAAACAATGCAGTGTATTTCCCACTGGATATAAAAGATGAAGAGAGGGAAACTTATTTTTGGCTCTGTGTTGGGGGTTGTACAATCCCCAGGGTGAAGAAAAAAACTGAACATATTTGTGGGTCCCTAAGGAACTAAGGGTAGAACATAGTCCAAGGTACAGATACAATCCATTTATTTCGCTTTTTACAGGTTGAATCCATTCTCTGGGGAAGAGATTGAGCAAGCTCTTATCCTGTTTATTGCAAAGCACAATATGACACTGATTTCACATTAAATCATTTGCATCACTGTGAATGATAAATGTGACAGTAATGAAGACTGCTTTTCTCTCTTATGTAAAAAGACTCAAAGTCATAATCCCAAAAGATGACCTGTGGTTAACAAAACTTTCCAGGCCAAGATGGAAATTCAGTGTGCATTGCTTCCTCTCCGTAGCCCAGGAACCACAGCCTAAGTCTGCCATTCGCATTTCAGACCTTTGGTGAGCAAGTGACCAGGATGAGAAAGCAACCAACTTTTCTGACCTAAGGAGGGTGAGTTTATAAATTCTCTGACTATTAATCTCCTCCTTTCTTTTAAGACGACAGTTCGGGGATCTAATTTAGAGTGAGTTTCTTCCAATTTTGGGCAGTCCTGAGACTCAAGGAGAGTTAGCAGAGGAAATTGTTCAGAAAGAAAGCAGCAAATGCTCAGAAACATGAAGTTCACAGTGTATGCATAGCATTAGGCAATGTGTTATTTGTTCAAGGACAGAACTCTCCCTGCTGTCTGACATTTAGGGCTTTAACATGATCAGTGACTCGTCTCTCCTAGACTATACTTCTTGGCTTCTAATAGAACCAATGTTTTGTTTTACACCCTACCAGGGTCTAACCTACTTTATAGACCAGCACCAAGCTGCTAAGGCTTCTGCTTTCAATTTCATGGGTGAGAGGGAAGATAACTGAAGGAAAAGAGGAGAGAGAAGGATAATTCTTTCCTGGTATTATTTTTGCCCGTTATCCTTGGATTTTCCAGCAGTCACGTTTGGACATGGCAGCACTGGATTCTACTTTGTAGGTCAGTGATACAGTTCAGTATTTTTACCTTAGTAAGATCCTACCAACAGGAGGTTTCTGTGAGAATCTAATCATGATAAAGTTTAATTTTACAGGCTTAGATTGAGACTTTGCTGGTGTCTACTCTGTTCTAGTGAGAAGAGACAATGCAGGAAAAATAAAGCTGCCCATTAATGTGACTCCATTTCCCTGTGTTCACAGATTCTGCTAGAGAAAATGGCTCTTGAGAATGGCTCTTTTGTGACTGAATTCATTCTGATGGGGTTAATAGACTGGCCAGATCTCCAGCTCCCACTTTTCTTCCTGTTTTTACTAATGTACGTGATCACTGCTTTGGGAAACTTGGGATTGGTAACTCTAATCAGGCTAAATTCACATCTTCAGACTCCCATGTACTTTTTTCTCTTCAACTTGTCTTTTATTGACCTCTGTTATTCTTCTGTGTTTACACCCAAAATGCTCATGAACTTCATATTTAAGAAGAATGTTATCTCTTATATGGGGTGCATGACCCAGCTTTTTTTTTACTCCTTTTTTGTTATTTCTGAGTGCTATGTGTTGATGGTAATGGCCTATGATCGCTACGTGGCCATCTGTAGTCCACTTCTGTATAATGCTGTCATGTCCCCTAGAGTATGTTGTAGCCTTATGCTTGGCTCATACCTGATGGCATTCTCTGGGGCCATGGCCCACACGGGGTGCATGCTGAGACTGACCTTCTGCGACACAAACACCATCAACCACTATTTCTGTGACATTCTCCCTGTGATGCAGCTCTCCTGCACCAGCACGTACATCAATGAACTGGAGGTTCTCATAGTGGTGGGGATCAACATCATTGTGCCCAGTGTCACCATCTTCATCTCTTATGGTTTCATCCTCTCTAATATCCTTCAGCTAAGGTCCACTGAGGGCAGGTCCAAAGCCTTCAGCACCTGCAGTTCCCACATAATCGCTGTTTCTCTCTTCTTTGGATCGGGTGCCTTCATGTACCTTAAGCCTTCCTCCACTGGATCTATGGATGAGGGAAAAATTTCTTCTGTCTTTTACACCAATGTTGTCCCCATGATGAATCCCTTAATCTATAGTTTGAGGAACAAAGACGTGAAACTGGCACTGAGAAAATCCTTGAGCAGGAGAAAGTTTGGATCAGAAAGTTAATCCCTATATGCTTTTAATTATAAGACATAAAGTCCTTTAAAAATTTTTCAAGTAATGTTGTTCATATAATTTAGATATACATGAAAGTCACATTCATCCTTTGTGTAAATATCACATTGTTTCTATGGTATTAGGAACCAAAAGGTTAAACAAGACTCAAAGAGTATAATGGATTTTATAAAACAGGAAGAAATGGAGCCTATTTTAATAGAAGAGAAGGAAATGTATTTTCCTATTATTTTTTATCATGGTAACAATTGAAACTTCTATCCATTTTTCCAATTTTTATTAATAGTGGTTTTCCCATCTAATACATATTTTATCTCATCACCATTTTTCCTATTTAATAATAAAATTAAGAAAAATGTCATTCATTTATTCTCATTGTCATTATGAATAACTTTCTTCTGATAAAAATAAAACTTTCTGCAAATGATGAAATAAATGCTAGGATGATATTGTAACATTCCAGGTGATGTGTTTCTTTTTTTCCTCTTGCTCTACTCTTGGAAACCAATGAGACGTGTTGGCTATACTCGTGTCTTTCCTTCCTCCACTGGGCAGGTAATGTCTTCTTCCAGGGCAAGTGTTTCACACATGTAGGTCCACAGAGACTATCAAATACAACACATTTGGCAGTTGTAAAACCTATGCATTCATCTTCTTTTGTCACAATATTTGTATATACTTCATATTACAAATTACCTTGTAGTAGAGAGCCAATATGTATATATTGCACTGATAGTCTACTAAGCTCAGTAAGGTTAATGATTTACTTAAAGCTCACTGGTCATTAATGAAAAGGCATTGAACAAGCAAGTAGCCTACATATTTTAAGTTTCCTGCTATTTCTGTTTTCAACCTTTTGTTAGTTAGATTACATTAGACAGGAAAAATCTCTGCTTTTACAGTTGGCTGTGAATTGTTTCCAAATGTTACATAAGTCAAGATGCTTTCTTATTGTTATTCTAGAAAGCAATTTTATTTTTTCCATTAGCTGGGTAAGAAGAGGCCTGTTGAACTAAGAGAGTTGGGTAATCATTTTGCTCAAGTAGGGATTTCAGTGTGGTATAAAAATGGAAAGAAGAATTTGAAATGTTTTCAAGTGTTTTAAATTTAAGAATGAAAAAGGAGCCTAGCAACATGAGTTTAGTCCAGGACCTCAAAGCCACACAACTTTTAAATAGATGGTTTTGAAAATAAATAAATAAATAAATAAATAAATAAATAAATAAATGGTTGTACTAAGAAATAGTAATTTAAGTATAAACGCTGCATTTCAGTGTGAATTTGTATTTGCTCTGCAGAGCACTGAGATATACTTCCCTATGATAACACTTTGGTGCATCTCATAATCTCCAGTGGCCATTGTTGTGGTTGATATGTTGTGTCAATTTGAGAAGTCAACAAGCTTAACTAATTAACTCAGGAGTTCTACAGCCTAGTGCATAGAGGACATGCCCTTACCCTTAATCCTCTGTGATATTATTCATTGTGTCAACTTGAAAAGTTTAAAGTTTAATTAAATGACTTAGCAAGTCCTCACTTGTTAAGTATTCTGAGCCAGTGCAAGAGAGCTGCTCCCACTGGAGGGAAGATAGCCCACATCCCGTACTGGGGAGGAAGAGAGGCTTGTTCCCTCCATTTTTGTTCCTGGTACTTTTGCTGTCTTCTGCCATCTTGAACTGTGGCCCCTATGTCATGCCACCCTGCGTTGGAGCCAGATGAGTATACCCTGAAACCTCCACAACGTGTGAGCTAAATAAACTCTTTAACTTGGGTGTTGGGTATTTTGCCCCAGTAATGAAAGAAAAGTAACCCACACAGACATGCATTAATAATTTTGGAGGAATGGGTATGAAAAGGCATGACAGCTTCTATGGGAAATGGGGAAGAGAAAACAGCAAACTCAGGGGAGAAATTGTGAATGGTAATTGCCATACAAAGTAGGAGTTTAGAAAGTAAAATTATACAAAATTAAACTTCTACAGTAGCTATTAAAATTTTCTCCAAGTTGAGGGATCTTGCAAAACTGGTGGAGGTCTGGGTAGGATAAGGCTTAAATTATTTGGTATTAAAAAATATTAAATATGGAATGTGGAAATAAATAATTCCAGTTTTATAAGCTTTCACATGCTATCCCATGTTGACTTTTTATTTTAAAGAGGGAAAAATAAGACAACATAAACATATTTATTTACAAAAATAAAGACAACATGGAACAATAAAAATGATACAGAATTTCAAAACAAGAACAGAAAATGAACAATCGTTAGGCATTAACATATATTGCTGTTTGGAGGGAAATGATAATTTGAAAAAATATTTTCTGAATATGCCAAATAATAATTTCAATTCTAAAATATAATGCATTATTTTCCCTTTGAGAAAACAGGTTAAAAAAAGGGTGATGATTCTGAAAAATCTTTAAGCCTTAATTCTTAACCAAAGGACAGTTTAAATATTTCCAAAAAAAATCTGTAATACTTACTATTTTCCCATTTTTCTAATCTCCACTTCATATTTGCCTATTGTGAAACATCGTAAGTACTTTATTATCTTGTTCATTTATGTGCAGATGAGCCTTTTTAAATCATTGACTTAATGGTCTGAATCAAACACTCATACTCTAACCCCAGTATCTATTTGCTTGATTTTCAATCACAAAAGTTCTAGTTATGTAAAAAAAAGTTGATATTCTAGTGTGCTTTTGATATTTTTTACTTACTATTTCTTTGTGGTAAAACACGCCTCTTACTGAATGAGAAACCCTTCTAAATATGTAAAAACTTTCCCTGTTATTTATGATGCTTTAGGGAGTCACTCACTCAGTCACGTATTTCATCACTAAGTGAAGTAGCCCAAAGAATAGATTAAACTGGATCAGTTAGCCTGATTGGAAGTTCAGAATACAAACAAAATAATTCCATTTTCAGAAAAGATAAAGTCTTTAAGACTTTTAATGGAGGAAGATAATGTTCAAAATGGAATACCCTTCTCTGACATAACTAAACAAAAAAAGGGAATACAAATGAACGACCATTTTGTATCTTTATATTCAAAATAGGATATGCAGCTACTTTCTCTTAATTCAATGAATAGAAAAATTTGTTCTAATAGTGTTTGTGGACAGGATATCATATCTGCATCTTGTACAATGAATAACCACTAAGACAACAATATGCAATGTATTAATTATTGAAACTGCCCTACTAATTGGTTTTGAAACTATCTCATTGCTATTTGTTTCTCAATAAAATTATTTTTAAAAATGACGTGAAAATGTTATAAGCTAACAGTGGCAATATTTTGTTTAATCATTTATTTTTTACTTATTTACTTATTTGGTACAGGGTCTCAGTACACAGCTTGTACTCATAGTGATTCTCCTGTCTCAGCATCCCCAGCACTGAGATTACAGGCATGCGCCACCATGCCCAGTTTCCATGGCCCACTAGGTGCAGGGCTGGCACTGTGGTACCAGGGATTGAACCTAGGTCCTTGTGCTTGCCAGGCAGGAGCTCAGACCGCCGAATTATCTCCCTGGCTCAACAGTGGCACATTTAAAAGATAATTTCATTGATAGTTTTTGCCTATCAAAAGCTGTTACGGTTTGTGTCTGGATATCCACCCAAAGCTTCAAGTGGCCAAAAGGGCAGGCTTTTCAGGAAGCAGCGACTCCCCAGAGTTTGTTATTGATTCATTGTCTGTTGCTGAGATTGGTTGGGGAAGTGCTTCCTACCTGGGGGAAGGTAGCAAATATGGTAGCAATATATGGGAGGGGAAAAAGGCTTGCTTTTCCCTTTTGCTTTTGTTGCTTTGGCTGTCTTCCACCATTAACTGTTGTCCCTTTGCCATGTGCCACCCTGCATTGGAGCCATACAAGTATGGAATAAAACCTCTGTAAACTATAAGTTAAGTAAACCTTTCCTTATTTAATTTTGAGTGCCAGATATATTGTCTCAGCAACAAGAGAAAAGAAACTAAGGCAGCATCTTTACATATGGTTAAAGGTTTATATTTCAAAGGAAGTAAAAACACAAAAGAGATATAATGCTATTAAAATTTCACCTCTGAGATTTACAAAGCAGGCCATGGGATTCACCTGAGTCTACATACTTCAAAGAAAATATGTCTAACTCAATGGGGAAACCTTTCTGAGTGATAGCTGAAAATAAATTTTCCAGAAGGTACATTTGCTCATTGCATTTTGAATTAGCTTAATGTACACTTTCTCAAAGCAAGGTGCAGTTATTGGTCAGAGTTAATTTGGATGAACTTAGAGTACATTGTACTAAAAGGGTGATGGAAGCTTGGTTTCTATGTCCCTGTACTTCCTTAAGCTCCAGTTTTCACTGGCTGTGACTGCCCATTTCTCTTCACACTGGCTCCTCATAAAATTGCATCCAATCTGTGAAAAATTCTAAAATTGCCTTGTCTAGCCAGGACTACTGCTAAAATTTGATTGTGAGAGCAAAGAATTTTTGCATAAATCTAGCACAGCTGGCACATTTCTTAGTTAGTTTAGTTGAGCATCAAATGAAGTAGGTTACTTGGGGGACCATGTTGTGCAAAGTAGTTATTGTTCCACATTAAAATCTAATGTTAAGGGGCCAGAGAGCTGGCTCAGCAGAATAAGTGCTTCCCTGGCAAGTGCAAGGGCCTGAGTTCAATCTCCGGTTCCGCAAAAAAAATAAAATAATAAAATGAAATCTAATGTTAGGAAGTTTTACTTCTGAGGCAGAAATTCTACCTCCCTTAGGGTATGACACATTGGTGGAATAACCTGTGCTGTTCAAGCTGTCTGGCATGAAGCTGGAAATCAAATTCAGACATCAAGATACAGATCTACACAGGGTGCCATGCTTGCTCACAGAAGGGCCTTCAGCACTGTCCCATCCATCCATCAGTCTCTGTGCTCCTTGGGCAAGAACTACAAGGTCAAAAGTGAAGGGAATCTTACTTCTCGTCTCATAAATGATGAAAATTTGTCTTTCAGA